TCCCCAATGAACCAACATCAACAGCCCTTCTACTTCCGCCAAAACCGGGTAGCGCTCCCGCGCGCCCTTCGAACCTGCCCTTATGAAGTAACACAAACTCATCTGCTGCCACCGCAGCTTCGGACACCGAAGTAACCCTGTGTTCTATTATATAAGTAGCAATGTTGTCAGGAAGAATGTTTTTGAACTGTTCCAAAATCATGAGTTCACCCAAATTGTCAAAAGAAGTGATGTCCAGAGCAGCTAACCAACGTTTAAAATGAACCGACAAATCCCTCGCCATTTCCACATATCTTTGACCCTGTTTTTTCTCCAAGGACCTAAAACGCTGTCGATAAGCCTCAGGAACGAGTTCATATGCTCTAAGCACCGCCAATTTTATTTTAACATAGCTAGAGCTATCCTCCAGACATAACGCGGAATATGCAGACTGTGCTCTTCCTGTGAGCACACACTGAAGCATCAGGGCACAGTCTGCATCCAGCCAATCCCTAGCCTTAGCTACCCGTTCAAAAAGCAAAAAAAAAAGTGTCAGGATCACTTTCATTAAATTGCGGTAACAAGCGCAAGTTGTTAGCATCGAACCGATGATGGGACCTGGGCACCTGTTCACCGTGCCGCTCACCCAACACCGCACCATCTCTGACCATAGAAAGACGTTGTCCTTCCATATCCAGTTTGGCTTTCTCAGTCTCCTGCCGCATCCGCTCCACTGCAATTTCCTTTTCAACCTCCATCTCATGCCTCATTTTGTCATGATTCAGCTGCAACAATAACATCTCCTGCTGCTCAAAGGACAGTGAACTAGCCTGCAACAGTGGTTTTAACAACACACCTATTTTCTCTGCCGGAAACACTCCTGTTTCACCTAATGCCGACACAATATAATCTTTTATAGTGATTTTTAGCCTCTTATCGCCGACGATTTCCACCGAGAAATGTTCAGCAATAACGAGCAGCTGCTCCATTGAGAAATTGCCAAGGGCTTCCTGAGATGGAGCCCTGATAAATGCGTCTACATCCGCCATACTATCACACAACACCGGAGCTTACACTGAGACGAAAAGCAAAAATAAATGATTGGAGTTCCCCCACTAACTGCGGCACCCACTAACTAATCTCCTCCCTAGTCTTCATGTAGTTACTTGCGGCGGGTACTTATGCACTGGAGACCGATGGTCCAGCAAAGCGACTAGCAAGCTAGCAACAATACTGCGACCACGGCCATGCCCCCAAGCCGAGGCTTCAGCCACTTTCACCACAACATTAAACACCCTGCCCAACGATCCCAAGGGAACCGTCGCTATAACCTACCAGGGGAAACTCCGCACAAATAATGAACTAACTCCCAACACTAGCTTACTTTACCGGAATGGACGAGCCCCCAGCTGTCATGGCTTGGCTCTCAGCCACAACAAACGCGCGACAGAAACGAGAGCGTGAATAGAAAAAAAAGAGTTTATTTGGCTGCTGCTGAAGGACACAAACAGGCGAAACAAGAGGTCAGCTGGTCGTGACTGCTCTTTGCGTTGCGTCCTCCTGCCAGAGAAAGAGAGAGCGAGATCCGGTCCAGTCCTTTATCCGGCTAGCTCCAGCCGCCAGGTGTCCTCAATTCCCGTGAGCACACACATAGGGAGAGTCATTAAAGGGCCACACACACGCATACCCACCACCAGAGATAGTGAGGCAGGGGTCGTCACAGTAATTGTTACGTGGAGTAATTTAAGGGTAATTTAATGAAGAAATAGAAAAGGACATGTATCATAATAGATGCTCTGTAAGGGCATACATTAAAAAAGGAAATTGGACAAATATGCGTAGACACACATTTATTTACACAAATATGATTTACACACCAACAGCTGCTGGCCATGGTCATAATCAGAGTGATAAATGTTGCCCATCAAAAGTCCCCTACCAAACACTTTCTGTGTTCCCATTTTGAACCATACCAGAAGCTGCATGTCAGCAAGGTCCAGCTGTAAGGGAGTACGCCTTTGACATATAAAGAAAGAAAGACAGAGACAGAGAGAGGGAAGGGAAGAGGAGGGAATAAACACAGGCCTCCTGTTTCCCCATTGACAATAGAGATGTAAATAGAGAGAGAGAGAATGATAAATGTAAGACTCTGCATGGGACAATATGGGATTTCATGTCACGGTTATCCTGTACAAAACAATTGTTTATTACAAAATCATGCTGATAATCATTAGTAAATAATTATGCTTTAACTGCTCTTAAACTGGCATCATAACAAACTGGAATCACGTCAACATTTTTTATCAAAGATGGGACACAGATCTCTTTTTTTGTAAACAATTAAACAAAGGTTTTTATTTGTATTACGGTATATTAAGGTGTTTCTTTGATGATTTGTATATAAAAAAAGACCCTCTCTTCTCTTGCTACCATGATATCAAGCAAGACAGCTTTTTCATTTATGTGAGATTGTTTCTGCGTTGTCCCCAATATGGAAAACCAAAACCATCAGTTTACCTTTGTGCTTAGCGGGTAACCTCAACATAGTAGGCCTTGGCTTATCTTATCCCCTTTCACTCTCTGCCCATGTGTCCAGTCAGGCATAAGATATCTTCAAAAGAGAGAAAAACAACAAATATCCATTTAATTTTACTCACGCGTTTTTAAATGTTGCCTACTTTCAGTGAATCCTTCTATCTTCACACATGCAGACACTGCTGCTCTGCATCCTCTCTGCACCGTGCTAACCCTCAGTTTAACAGCGCGAGTTCTCTGACAGTGTGTGGTCTGTTTCTGCTGAGCCCAGCACAGAGGGAAATTCATTCAAGTTCAGTTTAGACTCACTGCTGGCCCCCCACACTGACCTGACCCACACACACACACGCACAATACAACCCACCACACGTACACATAGACACGCACAGTGGCCTCACTGCTGCAGCAGTATCCCAGCAGAATGCCTGATAAGTGTGTGGCCCCCAGAGACCCAGCAGGCTCCGGCTGGCAACTGGGCTCTGAGGTCTGGGCGCTGCAGATAATGGCGGTGTGGCAGAGAGAAAAGGAGGACGGCTGTATCTCTGAGGGTTTTTCTGCTCATCTAACCTTGCACAGTCAGTCTTAGCATAATTCTTAACAACCATATTTTTGGAAAGAGTCAAGTTTTATTGTAAGTCATATAGATGGCAGGTTTTGACAAGAAGATGAATGAGAGTCAGACAGTGTTATGCTAAATTGTGGGAGTAATTATGCCAGATTTGAATGTCCTAACTGCAACGTTTTTTACAACAAGAAAGAAAACACTTTTATGACGCTAATGTTTGCTGATAGTTTGATTTTCAAAAAAAAGAACACCATCTAATTATTCCAAGTCTTGTAGTTTTTCACGGACACCTGAACACAGTTATTCAAATCAGCTCCCCCTACTACCACAACATGAAGACAATCATTATAAAATATTGCACTAGTTAAAATATTTCAAATTGTATTTTACTGCCGTATACTGTACTTGTTCACGCTTACGATATCTACTGGAACAAATGGATTCCTGTAAAGCCGAAAAACATAGCAACAAAACTGAAATCTCAGGAAAGCAGCTGGCAGAAATGTGAAGTAAACATGATGTGTTGTAATTCATGTAAATCATGCAAAAAATATTTCTTTGGTTGATACATCTGTAAACAATGTGAATATGATACCGGCTCAACATTTTTAAAAACATTTCTGAATGTTTTGAACTTGAAAAGCCTAATGTAGTGCACTCTCGGTGCTGCAGGTGGAAACATACTGTATGTGAGGTTGCTGTTTACCTGAGTTTATCTCGCTCTAATCCAGCAGGGTGCTACTGTTGCAAAAACTACTTCATAAAATAACATCTCTATTTCGAGTGCCATCCCACACCTCTCATCCCATTTTATTGCACGCCTCTGTGTCTCATCTCGAAACATCTAACAACGTAAACAAAACATCTGATCAAATCCTCCGCCGTCTGCCCTGTCAGCTCCCCCACTGCTAACACACTACCTACCTGAATAATGCATGATGGGAACAGGAAGTGGAGATGTCAGCAATTATACCGTCTTTTTCCCAAATGTGAAGGCGTGACCTTACTCTGTCTCCCCTTCTTTTCATCACTACACAATATATTATCTCATCCTCCCATCCATCATCCCTGCGTCCCTTACAGGAGCTGTTCAGATTTCTGTGAGACAGACATGTCACAGCAGCTTCCTGCGGGACCACCTCTGATCTGCTGGTGTAGATCAACATGTCCACTCTTGCATACATTTACAAACACACACAGGAAAAGGAAACACTAAAGGACAACATCTGAAAAGAGTTAATTCACTCCAGATATTAAGTCAGACACGGACAAATTGAATTGTTTATGCTCATGAAATGAGACTTTGTACAACAGTATTGTCGGAGGAAATATTTTACAGCTCAGCCAGGCATTTCAATGTCTCATCTATTAAATGTTTTGTTTTGCTGTTTAGTAGCTGAAATACATCAAGACTCAATACTAATAATCTTTTGAACAAACTGACAGACTGACAGCACAGTTTTCTTTGTGTGTGTGTGTGTGTGTGTGTGTCCTATACTTGCGGGGACCTACATCTGTTTACACAGTCACGTGTGGGGACTCACCTCCCTTATGGGGACAGTCAATGTAATGTCCCCTGAAGTGATGTATACGTGTGTGTGTGTGTGTGTGTGTGTGTGTGTGTGTGTGTGTGTGTGTGTGTGTGTGTGTGTGTGTGTGTGTGTGTGTGGAATCAGTAATATTGTAAACATGCCAAATCAAAATTGCAAAACAATTTGGCACTTTACATATCATCTATCTTCATCTCTCTGTCATCCTACTCCTCTCACTCACTCACTCACTCACTCACTCACTCACTCACTCACTCACTCACTCACTCACTCACTCACTCACTCACTCACTCACTCACTCACTCACTCACTCACTCACTCACTCACTCACTCACCTTAACACCTTAATTCCTCTCCCTTCGCCCCCACAGGTCGATGTGTGTGACACTGGTGTTCAGTACGAAGGTTCAGAGATACCTGCGGGTGGGGCTGGCTGTACCTCTCTTTGGTTCCCTGTCCTGCCTCAGATCAATGGTGGCCCAGGAGGGCAACATCTCCCCAGACCAGGTAGCACACACACACACACACACACACACACACACACACACACACACACACACACACACACACACACACACACACACACACACACACACACACACACACACACACACACACACACACACACGCACACACACACACGCACAGGCACACAAAGGACAAACCACATAACAACATGTGATGACAGTAGATGGCTTTATGTCTCCATTGCTAGGCGGGAAGTCATCGAGTGCAGTTTTTCTTGACAAGAAATATTGTTAACTTTTCCCTAGAACTCACATTCTATTTCCTAGAAGGGTAACACTTGAGTGCATGCACACAGTGAACTGAAATGTCACCAAGAAGATAAAGGGCAGAGGAAAAGGTTTCAGAGGCGTGTGTTCATAAATCTTTCACCTACCCGGCAACAGATGATGGATCTTTTTGGGGGTTTATAAACCTGGTTCTACAGGAGAGTGAAATGGATGCAAAGAATCCAATGCCCCATCATTACCATGTTCATGGTTTATAAGTGCATTGTTCCTCTATTCATTGTTAATAACCACACAAACATTTATGTTGAATCTATTTTGAAATACACTCTAAATAACTGTCATGGTGTAATTATATGTGTGGCTATGAGATGAGTGCTGCTCTGTGTGTCACCCTCTGGCTCTCAGTGTCTGCTATGCATTTGCTTGGAAGTTCAATTCTTCTTTTTGTCACTTTGTCAGTGTTGATGCATCAATGTTCCTCTGTGTGTGTACCTTAGGGGAAGATGTCTTTAATAACATATATAAACCAGGAAGTTAGTCAAGTTAATCACAAATGAGTGTTTTGAAACTCAAATTGTTAAATACATTTTTTTTAAATGGTGTCAGTCTGCTCAAAAACGTACGAGCAATGAATACAATGTTTTAGATTTTTCTCCTAAACATAAAACTAGGAAATAGATATTTTCAAAGACTAAAAGGAAACGTGTCCTTAACATAATTCCCATTGTAGATGTTTTAAATTGTATCTTGTATTTCAATGGCCACGTTTTGATCTCAAGTTGTGTGCTTGTTTGAGACGTCTCTTACAAGCTGCTTTTTGCTAATATATTAGCAACAGTAGTCATTAACATTTATTTTAAATATGTTACATTTTAAACTTATGTTTCGTTATAATTTGTATTCCCTTGTAGTTTTCAACAAAGAGAACCCAATATCTGGTTCAGCTCTGTGAGGATCAATTAAGGAACAAATGTTAACACTGTCTGTCGTCATAACTACACTGTACTGTAGCTATGTTCGTATGACCTCGATTTGAACCTTGAACCTATCTGTCTCTCTCCAGGTCATCCTATCAGAGTTGTACTCTACAGGTTTCCAACGATCCTTTTCAGATGATGATGACATGACAGTAATTGCTGATAGCGACGTTATCTACGCCTTTCAGGCTCCGCCCCTCCATAGTCGAGGAGGCTCCACACCACACTCAGGTAACCATGTCATAAGATCTCCACTGACGACACTCACTTCCGATGTTAAATATGTAAAACTTTCTTTTTGTTTTGAATATTCTCAGGTGCTTGCTCACCGGCTTTAATTGTATTCATGGGGGGAAACAGCAACAGAGTTGTGTGTCCCTAAATTAATAATTGAGAGCGATATGAGGTTGAGACAGCCTTGCATCATCAATGGCCTTTAAAAACCCTTTTCATCAATGCAAGGCATGCCGTATGCAATATTGACAGAGAAATTTCAAACATACACCTCTTGCTACTTTATAAAGCAAGCTGGCTAACGCATCCCCTTTGAGATTTGCATTTCTCTCAGGAAATGTGAACAGAAATGTTTGAAAATCAGTCAGAAAACTTTTAATTTATTTTATATATGTAGGATAAAGAAAAACTAGATAACAACTAGATAACATGTGGCATCAGGGTTATGCAACAATACAATGAGAATATAAAGCATACAAGAATGGGTGTTGACCAGGCAGGCGTTAATATATTTTTTGATGAATTATGGGAAGGATCACGCAGAATCTGCTGCTTGGAGTTTGACCAGTCTTTTTAAATGTGTTTCTCGTGGGTTCCCTAACTTTAGGAAAGTGTAACACTAAATATGTGTAGTCGCCCTTTTAATGCGTGTCTTTTGAATACGTTTCACATATATTTCTTAGGATATTCCTTATCTTTGTCCAGGTTGGTAAAGGTTAGTAAATGTGATAATGGGCCATATCAACCCGACTGGCTTTTCCTTATTCTTGTATGCTTTGGAAGGTATTATTGCATAAAGTAGTGCATTGTATTTCTAAGTAGTATACATACGTCTTGAAAATGTATGTTTAACTTTAAAACACTGTGAACAACACAATTTTAACTAGAGTAATAATCTTAGTGTGAACCAGACAAGTAAGCATATTTTCAAAGCATTCATTTTCAACTTTCTTTTTTGGCATCCATTTACTGTACAGCATCCAACAACACTCTATAGTGTTGGCCTAACGTTAGCATCTTGGTTACTATGTATGATGTTCAACATGCGCATTGATTAAGTTATGAGATTTATGAGAAAAGTGATCAGGAAGGAAACTTCTAATGAAGCAGAGATGTGCTTCATCATAACATCAATGTGTTATTTTTCATCTCTAAGGCCACCAGTGTGAACGCTCTTTTATCTTGATAGCAATCCTTTACCCTCGCTCCTGTTCTTTGGCATTGTGTCCGAAACAGGGCTTTTAGATCTCTTTTTTCACACATTAAGTACTTTAACAGATCAACGTTCCTGTCTTCATTAAGTCATATATCTGATCGTAATGTCATTAATTGCCATTTCTGTGGGTTGCCAGTTAGAGGAGTTATGTCTCACCTTTGTCCATCAACGTACTGCTGAATGAAGTCTTAATGTTTTTTGTTACACCCCAAAGATGAATGACATGAATAATTCACTTACATACTGAAAGTACTCATGAAAAATAAAGACTCTTCACTTTCTCCACAAGAGGCATCTCTATCATCACTTCACAAAGTAAACCAGAGTACTAAGACAGGCGGCAGGCACATATCATCACACACACACACACACACACACACACACACACACACACACACACACACACACACACACACACACACACACACACACACACACACACACACGCACACACACACACACACACACACACACACACACACACACACACACACACACACACACACACACACACACACACACACACAGGCACACACACATATGTGCACTTGTTGTAATGAATCACACTTAAGTGCTCACTGGGAAATATGACTTCCATTCTTGTGAGCAATCTGGTGAAAATGATGAATGGCCCTTACCTCGATCACAGCGGACCAGATTGCAGGATATAAAACGTTTATTCAATGAGATTTATGTCATGTTTTATAAAATGTAACATGGTCAATTTACACAATCATTATTGCTCAGAGCCCAGCATCACATCGTCGAGGTAAAAGATGATGGACAGCTGACACAAATTGACACGGAAAGTTTCTAGTTTTCACAATCAATGTTATGGTCTAAATCACAATGGGAAAGTACTTTTCTCTTATCTTAAAATGATCTTGTTTTGATTTATTTTTCTTTTACTGTTATGTTTTAATGATATACATTTAATATAAATTGTTTTCTAAAATTATCAAATTTAAATCCAGATAAATATATGTTCAACTAAATTTAAAGAAGAATTAAAACCATTTTATCGTTTGCCTCTGCCAACAGTTTATATCCATGTGGATCCAAAAAGTCACAATGAGCGCATTCATTCTTAAAATATGCATGTCATAGTGACTTCCAAATCATAATCACTTCATGCTTTTTGTCCCAGTAAACATTTTTGCCAATTTTGAAGTAATTTCCTATCGGTATCCCTGAGATATTGCATTGAGGAGAATGGGAGAGACGCATAGACAACCCAAAAACAAAATGGCCGCAACCACGGCTGGCATGAAGTCAAAAAAGTATAGACAAAAAGAAGCACCCATATAAATTAGAAGCAGTAGCAGTGTTACTATGGTGACTGAGATTATGTAAAACCATGATTACTCTGGGATTAAGGAGGCCTCACTTTGTCAGTTCAGTGCATTCACCCTGCTGTAAGTATTTTATACAGTAGAGTACGTAATAATAGACAAGCCAGATCAATGGTTTGTAGATTGTGGTGACTGGTTGTTTGACTGGTCCTTCACGTATGTCAGGTAGTGCAGAGGTCACTTCCTCAGACTAAACATCCCTTCAGCTACAGTACTGCTGCTGTCCATCACTCAAGTTTGTTTTTGCAGCCTCTTTGAAAAAAGTAAAGCCTCCTGCTGCCATGATGGATGACTGTATGGAAAGCCTGTAGAACCAACAATAAAATGAAAAACACCACTTTTCAGAGGAGGTCTAATTGTAGTTTTACTAAATGTGAGTATTGTGAGAATGTGAATGTGAATGTGAGAATGTGTAGGTGATATGTATGTATGATATGTATGTATTCATACATTTGATTTTTGTACTTTCAAAAACCTTTAATGACAGGGATCATTTAACCTGAACTGGCTTTATTACACTGGCAAAGGCATATGTAGATTTCTATCTTTATCAAACTCAGCTTCAGTGATAAATTGTCAGTTTATGTATCTGGAACGTGATGTACAGTCTCACCCTCAGTTTTAATTGTGCAGCATTTAAAAACAAAGACTAACATGCAGGGACTATATGAAGCACTTAGATGTATATATGGATATGACTATCGTTAATCTGTGATCTATTCTCTCGTAGCTATAACAAAACAGATCAATAGAAATCGAGGTCAAGCCTGAAATCCACAAAACTCTAGTTTTAGAAATGTTGGAGAAAAATCATTAGTATTATTTTCTTTTTTAATCTGTTTACAGTGATAGATGTTGAGATAGGACTTAAATTGTGTTTGCTTCTCCTATTGCTTTAATTACATCTAAATGGTAACCCTTTGATCATATTGCATAACATGAAACATACACCACGTAAATATTGATGGAGGTTTAATTTGTGATATTCAGATCTGAAATGACCTTGAGATTATTCTCAGGTAATGATTTGTTTTCCAAAATTATACAGAAATCAAGTCATGAAAAATGTGATTTTGGTGAAAGTTATATTTGTCACAGAGAACAAACCTTTTACCAAGAAAACTAATCATGAAACCAACAGCTCCACAGCCCACTATGTACCTTTCTTCATTTACTGCCTTTTTATTATTCTGTTGAGCTGCTGAAATCCTTTTATATATTTGTTTTCTTCCTCAGAATCACAGAGCTCATACAGCTATATTAAATAAATCATAGTATACAGAGTCCACAGAGACTAGTTATTTTTGCCATGATAAAAGAGGCCATGAATGAAAAATGAATACTTAAATTAAAGTACAATTATTTGAAGTATTATTTAAAAAGAAATAAAACGATGTTTTGTACTCTATGCTTGCTTAAAAGTAGCCACATATAGTTTGCATTTTATCAACTATTTAACTGTATACTCTTTAAACACTGCCAGGGCCGGTACCTTGTTCCCTTCAGTGTTCACTTCCTGTCTTCCCTTGTCTTTTTCGTCCAGCTCTCTGTGTCTTAAACCTCTTCCCTTCTCTTGCCCTGTTTTCTTGTTCTTGATCTCTTTATATTTTCTTTTCCAGTGACAATTTAGAAATTATGAATCACAAGTGTAGTGCTCCTTACAAATATAGAAATGTATGTTCCAAAGGGACAACCTTAAATTGACTGGTCTTCCTTCTTTGGATTGATATGAATGCATATGGTCCCTTGATCAGAGCATCCTTAGAAATGGTATGCTATGGAAAATAATTTATCAATCATAATTGAGTATTCAACTAAACCATGTATTATTTATAGTTATTGTCCTCTATTACTGTAATTAATTATCCAAACAGTGTTGTAGGGGTCTGATTTGTATGTAATTTTCTTGGTCGGGTAGGGGTTGATTTGCATCAATGAATAATGAGACGCCATTCGAAGAGAAACACGATATATACAAACGTCTAGCTTGTGTAAAATCACTGTCATGCTTTGTAGGCAGTGATCCTACGGATGGTTTAATGAATGCAGGGAATTCCTTTTCCTCATAACCTGCTGTGTTTTTCCGTGTGTGGGAGCTGTTTTCCTCCTACTTTCAGTTTTCAATCAGCAAGTGTTTTTGGGTATATTGGATAAGCTCCGCTATTTGGTACAATAATGAGGTTTCGCTTTTAGAGGAAATGGCAGCAGGAGGTCTCATGATGGAAAGCACTGAAAAATTAATTGGGTCCCAAGCACCACAGTAGCATCCTATTTCACCCCCTACAATCCTGGCAATTTGCACATAAATAGAGTGGTAAAGTTCTGCACAAAGAAAAGGACTTCCTGCTAAATAGTAGCTCTTGGAAGCTAAGTGTGCCAACTGGTTTAATTGTGTGTAATTTTCACTCAGTGCCCTTGAAATTAAAAAG